TTTGCTGCACCTCAAGCTTTCTTCACATGGGATTTCAAAGGTGTTCAATTTGTGGCTGCCTTTTGCTGCCAACCCATGTGGGTTTTCTTTTGGTTGTTGGAAAAAATGATTCTTCTGAACCAGGTTTGGTGTAGGAAGGCCTGAGGTTTCAATATGTATCCAATGGGGTTCAAATTTGGATATGTCATAATAGACACCCATTGGAACAACCTTTATGAAGAATGTATTCCCATCTGAGCAGTACAAGTGTACGTTTTGGGCCATGCAAGTTGACTGCCGAAAATAGACTGGAATTGACTTCATTGCCGTCAGCTTGTGGGCTTATTTTGGGCTTGATCTTCCCTCCTAAAAAATCTGGAAAAATCTGGATCTTGAAGCTCTTTGAATTATCTTTCAAAGCATATGCAGCCCAGCTCAAGGACAAATCGGAAAGCCCTTCAAATGTGATATTTGGCCCAGTAACACAGATGCTGCCGAATTTGACCTTAAGTTGCCAAAACTTGTATAACTTTCTCTAGAAGACTCGGAATCATGAACCGTAAAATTCTCCAGAAACTAGACTTCTGCATCTTTCCAATGATATAGGGCTTAGCATCTGGTTCATCCTAAGCAAGTACAGTCCAATTCGTGAAGTTGACTGATCTGAAGATACTGTTTTGAGCTAACTTGTCTCCAAAATGTATTTAATGAGTCTTAAGCTTATTACACTGAAACAAACACAAAATTTATTAAAAGCACAAGCTTAACTAAAAAACATAATCAAATCATAAGTTAGAAGGGTACAAAATGATATATAAATATGCATTGATCATCCAGCATGTTTGGATGTTTTGGCTGCTGAATGTGTTGTTATACACAGGGGTTTGATGAAGGCTATTGAGTTGGGACTATCTAGTTTTTTGGTAGCATCTGACCTGCAAAAAGTGGTGGCTTTACTGAAGGGTGATGGTGAGCTATGGAGTAATTTGGGAAATATTGTGGACAATACTAGAAGGTTGATGGTGCAGTTGCGTGTTGGTGATGTTCATTTTCAGCAGCGATTGGGGAATCGAGTAGCCCATTCTATGGCTTAGTTTGGATTGCAAGAACAACATCCATCTTTTTGGGATGGTTTAGCTCATGACTGGCTAGTATCAGTGTTGGTAACAAACAAGGAGGGTGGGTAGTTTTTTTTTTTTTTTTTGGGTCTGAAAGATGGAATTTCATAAACAGCAGGCAAACAGCCAAGAGAAGAACAAAGCCCATAAGCCAGCAAAGCACAGCGAACAACAAGACATAATAAAAACGCAGCTACAAAGAAGGAGGACAACTACAGAAGACGTAGTCATAAGACAAACAGTTACGTCGAGAAGTCCACACAGCCGCAACCATTAGGCATTCCTTGGGGGGCATGGTAAACCATCCTTGTTTAGGATATGCATTAGGGAGGATGGGGGTCGGTTGACCCATCCTTTAGGGCTCATCCTCGAATTGGCAAGCATTGCCAAATGATATGCCGCCTAGTTGGCGGTTCTAGGAATCCATGTCCAAACGTAGGTCTGGAAGCAGTTCAAAACATCCCGAACATTACTTAGGATAGGATAGATTTCCCACATTCCTTTGGATAAGGAGCCCTTCAAAGGAGAGATTACTTCCTTACAATCAGATTCAAAAGTGACTTGACGATAACCCATCTCAGCAGCGAGTTTACAACCTTCAAGACAAGCCAGTGCCTCAGCCTCTATAGCAGAGTTCGCCACTGATGGGATGGATGTACCCTTGATAAAATCTCCATGGGTGTTCCTAATCAGGATTCCAATGCCAACCCTCTTTGAGTTTGGATTCCAGGATGCATCCACGTTAACCTTGACAAAAGGAGAGGCAGGGGGGTTCCAAAGATGTTGCTGGTTGTCATTAGAAAGGGTAGGAGGCTCAGTTTGATGTTTGCCATGATCAAGGGAGCCAAGGAATTCATTGATGGCAATAGAGGCAGCATGAATTGTTCTAGCTGGTGAAAGGGAGATGTGTTCTAGCACCGCTTTGCACTGATCCTTCCAAATCTGCCAGCAGAGGTATGCGATAACAGTTAGGCATCGTGATCGCTCTTGTAGGGTCTTCCCTTCCTCAATAACATTCCATAACCACTGGCCAAAAGATGTCACAACCTGACGATTTATACGCAGGTTGAGGGAGCATCCGAACCAGATAGGCTCCACCCAAGGGCAAAGGAGAAGGATGTGTTCAGCCGTTTCCGGTTGATCATTACATAGAGGGTGGGTAGTTTTATTGCTTTTGGATGCTGTAGGTTCTTTTTCTTGACCGGATTTATTCCATTAAGAGTTTTTATGACAAGGTTTTAACGATGCCATTTCTTTTTGCATCCAGTTTTGTTTACAAATTGTACCTTTATTGGTTGGAATGAAAGTTTCTTACTCTTTGATTAAAAAAAAATAAATTGAAAGCTCCCTAAATTTTATACCCTAATTGCCAATTGATGATAATATATGTGAAATTATGGTTTGTTTTATTGGATGAGATTTGTGTTTTAATTAAAGTTTATTGATAGCATTTTCCTTTCATTAATTGATTAAGGCTTATTTTTTGATTAATTGATTTTAGGATTTTGTGTTTTGATCAATTGATTAGAGTTTGATTAGGAATGAAAGTGCTATTTAAAATTTTTCAATATTATTTTCTTCTTAAAAAAATAGGATTAATCAGTTTATTAGTTCCTGAATTTAGACCCGATTTGCATTTGAGTACCTCAATTTCCAAAATGGTTCCCGTGTTCCTTTAACTTTACTTTCGTTAGGACAAATAGTCTTGCCAATTTTGTTAACTTTTTCTGTTAAATGCAGGGGCAAAATGGTATTTTTATATTAAAACAAAAAAAATGAATAAAAAATCATATCTTTAAAATAAAAAAAATAAAAAAAAAAGTTTGGGGGGAATAGAAATCGGGATAGAGGGGGAGAGAGATAGTTTAATTTTAATTTTTTAGGTTTTTAGTTTTTTATTCATATTTTAATCAATTTTGATACAAAAATACCATTTTGCCCCTGTATTTAATAGAAAAGTTAACAAAATTAACGGCAGGACTATTTGTCCTAACGGAATTGAAGTTGAAGGACCACAAGAATCATTTTGGAAATTGAGATATTCAAATACAAATTAGGTCTAAATTCAGGGACTAAGTAAACAATTAACCCAAAAAAATATCTGATTTTTTACAGTGTGACCCATGATGATGGCCTACGAATATGATCAATCTCATATGAATGGGATTTGAGATTTGATAGGATAGAGCGCATTGCAGGTAGTAAATTGATCGAGGGAAGAGATCTTAAAAGGGGATTTGGTAGTTGGGGAAGCATTTATTCAAATATTTTCTTTGGTATAAAGGTGGGCCGGCCCAACAAAATGTATATCTTTGGGTCTTTGGGTATATCTGTGGGATAACCAAAACATCCAATCCAACAATAAATCTCTCAGTACTGTGGCTTCCAAGGAAACTTGATTGACACGACAAATCGTTCAAATTCAGACAAAAATAATAATAAAAATCGTTCAACTTTTACCATCAGTCATTCACCAGAGATAAGACATGCAACATTTGAGGAGACACAGAGAGAAAGAGAGAGAGAGAGAGAGAGAGTCCTGCAATTTGACCGCTCTGCTACTAAAACATTAGTAAATATAGTAGTAGTAGTGTGTTTTTCTCTAGAGAAAGAAAGTGAGCGAAAACAAGTAAGACAGTGATGGTGAAGCGGAGGAGGAGCGAAGCGCATCTGAGCAAGGATTCGAAGGTGGAAGTTTGTAGCAACCAAGAGGGTTACAGAGGTGCATGGTTCCCAGCCAAAATACTTGACCCACAACCCTCAGATCCCTCAACCAAGAAGAAAATAAAGAAGGCTCTGGTGCAGTACGAGACTCTGGCCTCGGACGATGACCCAAACAAGCCACATACTGAGCTCGTTCACGCGCGCTCCATCCGCCCAGTGCCTCCTCCTACTGACAATCCAGACCAGCCCTTTGAGCCTGCCGACGTCGTAGACGCCTCTTACATTGATGTTTGGTGGGTTGGGGTTGTAATGAGGTGTGAGGATGACAAGTATACGGTGGGTTTCTTAAACCCACCTGATCTGCTTCAGTTAAAGCGCTCTGAGCTGCGCCCTCATTGGGATTTTCTCGACGGCAAATGGGTTCGACCCCGGAAGAAGGTACTAGTGGGTTCTACATTTTAATAATTATTATGCTTGTGGGTATGTTTTTTTAATACAGGATTTGAACTTGGTTTATGCTTGCAAGTTGCATGGGCTTTCTTTTGTTTATTTATGAATTTTCTTTGGATCTTGACCATTGGTTTTCATGATTTAAGAACATGCAGGTTGTTTATTGTACATTGGCCTTGCCCTTGTTGTTCTTCTTTTAGATTCTTCTTTTTTTCCTTAAAAAAATTTCTATTTTCTTGAAAAGATAATCTTTTTATGTTGTTGCACTCAAAAGATCTTTCTTTCATGTCTTCTCTTTGTTTTTTGTATCTCAAAGTAGGATCTTGTGATTTGATAGAGTTTTAAGTTTGGATTTATTGAGGTCTTTACTTGTATGTTTGCAAGTTCATGCCTTTCCAGTTCATTTGCAATATATCTGGATTCCTTGTATTTTTTAGGGATGATAGAAATTTCTATATGCTGTGCTTCTAATAGAAAGAAAACTGATATTTCTCACTGATTGTTCAAAGAGGATGGTGGGATCAGTTTTCAGCCCTGGGACAGCAGTGGAAGTGAATCTCAGCAAAGAACATATATTCGGTGCTTGGCTCCCAGCAATTTATCTTGGCGAACTAGGGAACAGCTCTTTCTTGGTTCAATATAAGAGCTCAAACAACTCTGATGTTAAAGTGATTGTACGTGGCAAACAGATTCGGCCTTGCATTGATAAATCACCTTATGGAAAGACGAAAAAGAAACAAAAAATTAATCAGAAACCTAACGATGATGCAACAATTGTAGGTTTTTCCAAGAAGTTGATGGCATCTGAAGACTGCCATTTGAATGTAAGAAGTGATATATAAAAAAGAAAAAAGAAAAAAGAGAAGAAAAGAGATGCATAATTTTTTTCTCTGGTTTTGTTTCTTCTGATACCTGATGGTCCTGATTAGAATGCATTTTATTCCATTTGCAGAAGGCTGAGCAACAGCAGGTTGGAGAACTGGACAATCAAGCAATAATTTCTCATAAACGAAAAGGTAAACCACAAAATTCCCAAGGTGATATCCCTTGGCCAAGAGTGAGATATTATTTCTGTATTGACATATTTATTGTGTCATCCACATAAAACAAATGTGTATAAATTGTTGCAGTCAAGAAGGGCAGTGAAGTTGAAAAGGCTGATGAAGAAGATGTTGAAGATGTGAATGGACTGGACAACATTGAATCTTCTGGTATAATGTCAGATTCTGAACGAAAAGGGGGATCTCATGCTGGAACATCATGTCTGCTCCCCATGGAGGTATATCTGAAGCTTGTACGTTATGCTTCTTTTATATCTCTTTATGTATCAAAACTGCAGTCTACATTAAGCTTTGGGTCAAAATTGCAAGACCAGTGTGCTTTCTATCAAACAAATGCAAGGCCAATATGGTTGAATAAGGGATGATTCTCCTGTTAGCTAACTGGATACATGCTAATTTGGTGATTAAAGTAGTCATGGTTGAAATACAAAGTGGCCTCTTTTTTTTATACAAAATAATAAATTTATATTAAAAATAGTGTTACATAAAACAAGAGAGCTTAATTTTACCTCAGAGGGTGGTGTAAAAGTGAAAGGAAGGACCAAGATGGAGCATGCCTATAGTTCTAGTTACTAGAGGATTTGTCTTTTTAAAGACAATTATTAATCATAAACTATGATTTTTTATTTTTATTTTATCTAAATTATTTCAAAAAATGTGTTTGGCTTTACTTAATCTCTGGAATAAGTATGGATTTGGAGGCATCCTATTGAGATTTATTTCCCTCTAACCCAATTTCATTGATGATGATATTTCTTATTAATTCATTCAGGAGGTTGAACAGAATGAAGATGGACTGAGCAGTGAAATAAAAGGGAAGGGAAAACTGCCTGAATTTCATGTTGAACGCTCAAAAGATCCAGCAACAGCTGTGTATAATGTGTCAAAGCTACACAATAATGGCGCTGGATCATTTGCTGCAGATTGTACGAATGATATATTTGAATTGCCTGTAGTAACCAGGTTTGATTTGACAGGTATGAGGGGCTAACGACCTGAATTAAGAACAATGGTATAGAAGACTTATAAACTCAATAAATTCTAATTTTTTTTGCATGTGAGAAGCACAATGGAAGTGGAGTTGTTGCTCAAGTTGAATTGACTAAGACTCAAGTTGTGAATGATAATGGTATGGTACGTCACAACCTCGAAAAACCTTTTGTTTATGTATAAAGAATAATAGGAACTTATGTGCAATTTAATTTGAATCCTCCTACCCTCTTCTTTCACTGGTATGCTTTTTATTGGTATTCTATAATTTTTGTGTGATGAAAAAGAAACAAGTCAATTACAACATTTGGATGGGTGTTTAGGAAAATGAATTTGGAAGGCTCGGTAAATAGAGGTGGTGAAACATAATTAAGAAACAATGATTTTGCCATTAAAAAAATAGACTTTTGGTTTTACTGAGTGTAGATTCTGCAACTGAGTTCATCGCAAAAAAAATATAGAATACCAACAAAAAAACATATTAGTGGAAGAAGAGGCTAGGAGCCATCAAATTAAATTGCACATGAGTTCCTCTTATTCTTTTTACATAAACGAAAGGTTTTTCCAGGTTGTGATGTACCATACGATTCTCATTCACAACTTGAGTCTTAGTCAATTCAACTTGAGCAACAACTACAGTTCCAAATGACATCGATAATATCTGTATTGCCGATATTTTCATCCTTGGTGTGAGGGAGCTACAATAAAATCCCTTAATATTTTTCTATTGTTAAAATTAGTCTATAAGAAAATGTACAACATATTGGTAGGTGAATAGGAAATAAAAGGGATTTTACTTATCCTTCTCACTATTTTCCCTGTTGGTAGTTTTTGTTTAATCCTATTTATTGTTATCCCGTGTAGTACAAAATTCATACCTCTCTTAAAATCACAGGTTATGAAGATGCAATGGTCGAAGCAGAAGTTGAAGTTTCTGCAATGGATATTGAGACAATAATAGAGGGCTCCAGTAAGCTATTGTGAAAGTTTTCAAAGCATTGTTTTGGTTTTGGTTCGTTTGATTAACATCAAGGTTTGTTCTAGGTAACCCTGCTGGCATTTCCAACAAACAAAATGAGGTCGGAGGAAGACAGGTGGAAACTGGTGTAACTGGTAAGACTGAGCAACAAGATAGTCCACTTTGCCGTTCTGAAATGTTCTCCAGTTGGGAAAAAAATTGAAACCATGGATGTATAAAAAGATGTTAGACTTAATAGGGATATGCTTGTCCTTTTTCTTGTTTTATACCCTTTCAAAGCACTTGCTTATCCTATTCATTTTTATATCTTGTGTTGTCTAAAATTTCATCTTTCTTAAATTCGCAGGTTCTGAAGAAATGATGAGAGAGACAGAAACTGTGGATTCTGCAATGGATTACTTGACAAAAGACGTTCAGGTGGCTGTGACTGGAATATCTGCAATGGCATCTGCCCATGATCAACCTTTATCACTGTGCATAGATGAAATGCATTCTATAAAAGCCATAGAGTGCTCAAGTAAGCTATTGTGAAAATTTTCAATGGATTCCTTTGGCTGTAGTTAGTTTGACTAATATCATGATTGTGTTCTCTAGGTAACCCTGCTGGGACTGCCAAGCAACAAAATGAGGATGGAGGAACACAAGTTGGGCAACTACATTTGCCTTTTGTGAGAAGTTCTCCATTATGGGAAAATATTGAATCCATGGATGTATTCAAAAGATTTCCGCAAATGCCACATTTTCATCCACTATTGAAGTGTAAAGAGGTCTGTCGTGAAGGATCAGCCCTTGGAAAGATGGTAAACTTTGCCTTTTTGGTGGAGAAGACTTCCAAGTTGCAAGTTGGTGATCCTAGAGAATTATTTGATAGCATTTTGGGGGCACTGGCTGACTTGGAAATGTTGGGCTTTGATGTCACAGCAGTACGGCATCGTCTGAAGGAATTGCTTGAAATGAAAGTTAAGTTGGGGCAGCTTCAGAACCGATCACAAGAAGTTGACATTCAGATCACAGCGTGTGCTCATGACAGAACCAGAAACAATGAAACAATCAGTCGGATTGATAAGGATATTAAGGACTGGCAGGAAAAACGGGTGACGTTGATGTCAATTGATGTGGCCAAAGGTTCTGAAATTAGCAAGCTGGAATCAGAAGCAAATGCTATAACTAAAGGCATTCAAAGCATCCATCGTGATTTCGAGAAATTAGCTGCTGCAGCATGGTGATTTTTATGATTCTGATGGATGACTTTTTAGATTACCGCTGTTTTTGCTAACCTTTGCAGCATCATGATGGATGATCATTCAAATTATCCTTTTGAATGTAGTAATGGAAGTTATACCAAACTATTCTGTAGTGCTTTTTTGTTATAACAGCCATTAGCCCTCGATGCTGGTAACAATTATCTGTACTATAAAACTTACCTGAAGCTACTCTGATCAGCAATCCACCTCTGTATCCCAGACCACTTAATGCTGCCAGTTGTAAGTAATTTTGATTTGCTTTTCTTCTTCCCTTCTGTACTATATACCTTGATCCACTTTACTTTCTAACTCATAAATTTAAAAGAAGTTGGGTTAATTTAAATAGATTATTATAAATAAACCCAATCATAGACATGTATTTATAAAAAAACTCACGCACTATTTAAACATAGAAACACACCCAAAATAAACAATTGTATATTTTTTGGGTGTGTTTATAAATGGGTTTTGAGTGTGTGTAATGATGGGTTTTGGGTGTGTTTATACAGTGTTTTGGGTGTTGGGTTTTTTTATAATTTCAGCCCCCATTTTGGGTGTTTTAGTGAAACTCCCTAATTTAAATTAGTATCCTGAATTTTTCACTAAACAGCATGGTAATATAGTGTTTTCAATTTGAATTGTCATTGGACTGATTATCAAGAAGAATTAATTGATGATGAATCTAACTAGGAACCCATACGTGGTGGTTTTTTTCTTTCTTGTTTTCGAATTATTGGATTGACCCTTTGAAGTTCAACTCTTCCCCTTTCAATTCTCATGCAAGTGTTCTCTTTTATGTTCTTAAACTTAGGCTTTGGTTTGACCAACTTAAACCTAATTAACTTGACCAACTTAAACCTAATTAACTTGACCAATTCTTCCTTTCAAATCATATTTTGAATCAGCATAGAAAAAATGAAAATGGTCAAAGAATGGGGATTTCATGAGTGAAAATGAGGTCTGAAGGGAAGAATTCGTGGAATTAACTATGGACGGAACGCCCCTGAATTTCATGGCCTCTTTTTTTTTAAAGAATTAACAAACTTGATGGAAGGGTAAATTTGATATTTTTTTTGAACCGTTTTCATTTTCGACCCTAATTCAAAAATTTGGAAACAAGAAAAGAAAAAAAAAGGGCAGGTGGGTTCCTAGTTAGATTTGTCATTAATTAATTCTTCTTGATAATCAGTCTAATGACGATTCAAATTGAAAACATCTTGATAATCAGTCTAATGACAATTCAAATTGAAAACATCGTATTACCATGCTATTTAGTGAAAAATTCTAGATATTAAATTAAAATTAACCCAACTTCTTTTAAATTTACGGGTTAGAAATTAAATCTTGATGAACATTTTTCATAGGGTAATCTACTGAAATGCTCCATGAACTTGTACATAACTCTCAATTTACCACCTGACCTTTTTTTTTAGCGAATTAAGGGCTCAAATTAAAATTTATTATCAATGTTCCCCCCACCGTCAAAATTCGAACATTTCATCCATTATTCCATCCATTTGAATCATTTTGACCCTTTTTTTAGGGTTATTTTCGTCATCTTCAGCCTATTAAACCCTTACCTAGTCAAACCTTCACACACTTCCCACATACATCATGCTCCACCTCCATTTGTTCATGTTTCTGGCGATTTCCAGCTATCTATCTAGAGAGAGAGAGAGAGATGAGGACGAACTTACCCGGCAGTGTTGATGGGTCACACAAAGGGAGTTCGGAGTTCGAAGACGGCAATTCATGGATGTTGCCATCACGGGTCTGCTACTGTGGGAAGGTTGCGAAAATTCAGACTTCTTGGACCTCTTCACATCCAGGACGAAGATTTTATGTTTGTGCGCGGGTAAGTTGAATTTTGAAGTTTGGGTTTCTAATTTGTAGTTTTGAGTTTCCAAGTTTTAAAACTGTCTTTGCAGAATCGTTGTCAAATGTGGGAGTGGGGTGACCCTGTTATGTGCAATAGATCTAAGCAAATAATTCCAGGACTGCTGAGGAGAATTAACAAGTTAGAAGCAGAAAAAAAGAAAGGGAATTCGAAGCTGAAAAACCCATGGTTTTGGGTGTCGTTGTGCATGTTTGGGGTTATTATATGCTTGATTTTGAATGAAGATAAAGGCACTAATGAGCAGCTGTAA